TCTGAAATAGCTCCGGCTCTCCTTCTGAAGCTGACTTGATGTTTTCTGAACCCATCATCAGCTCGCATCCGCCCACGCGCGTGCCACGCAATGCTGAGCGAGCTCCGGCGGCGCGGCGCGCGCTGAGGGATGCTGCCGGGACAGGGAGGCCCCCCCCGGGGGGGCTCCTGTGAGCGGCCCACTCCCACCGGGACCCCCGGGGCCGGAGCCGTCTGAGGAGAGAAGACCCGCAGAAGAGCCGTGCTGGGGCAGGAGGGGGGGGGGCAAACCTTTACTACTGACCAGCCATCCAGCCTGACCAATGGTGAGCCATGATGCTTCTTCTAATACCAGAGATAGTTTCTTTATCCCCAAACAGCTCATATTTTACTCCACCAGAACTCACCTGCATGAGAGCTTCTCTAACAACGGCATAAAACCAGGAGGAGGGCCACAGATGACTAACGCTCCACATGAAAGTCTGTCATCTGCTGAGCCTAGAAAACTAGAAGCATGGCTAGTTTTTCTGTAGTGAAATCTATTCTAGTATCAGTAATTTATTTTGTGTGATTGTAAAGGGATGGATCAGTCATTTATCTCCACCTGAGCTCCTAATTGGAGATATGTTTACTCATATGTGAGATTATTATTCAGGCTGAATTAAAAAAAAAAATGCTAGTACATAAAGCTTTTTGTTTTTTTTTTACTAGCTTGTCAGGAAAGGTTCTGCTGACTGAAGACTTTTGCACTAAACAAAATAAACCTGATTAAAACGTCGTGTATGGGACACTTCCTGTGGTCAGTCGTCTTAGATCAGATGGAGGAGGGTTTGCTGGGATCTGCATTGTTTTTGTTTTTTCTCGGGGTCTGAGACCTGGAGAGGGTTTAATCAGTCGTGCTTTGTCTAATAGATGGTTGTTCAGTGGAGCGAGAGCTCAGAGCAGGCTGTCCCGGGGAGAGAGGAGGCAGAGTCTGTAAGAGAACGCAGAGGAAAGGGGAGGTGACACTGCTGTAAAGATGGAGTCACGTTAGTTAGCTCTTATTTATACCCTCACAAGAGTTTTCTTTTGATTTATGCATAAGGGGGAAGTGTCTTCCACTGGAAGATAAGAAAGGCCTGTTAGGGCAAATCTAGCCTTTTAAGACACAGGGAAGACTACACCCCCCCAGGACTAACTGTACAAGCAGCGCTTTATCAGACTGAACTAGTATTAAAAAGTCCTACCATACAATATGAGGTGAAAACCTTTCAAACATTCGGTCTGAATGAGTGTGAGCAGGAGGAAGCTTCTTCCAGCTCACTGGAACAACTCAACTAATGATAATGTTCCCATTTAAATGAGTAATAGAAATATTCCAGTGACTCAAAATAAATGTGGTTCCACTCTTATTCCAGTTTGCAGGGGAGCAAAGGGTCATGAACATGAATTCATTTTTCACAGAAACACATTAGCATAATTCCCGCCTCATCGCATGAGCAAACACAGTCAAACATGCAGATTTACACGTTTCCTGTGCGGGCCACTGGGTTTTATCGTGTGCCCAGTCAATTTCTGAAGAAGGACGTGTCAGATGTAGGCCTGATAAAGACATGACGTAGACATTATTTACTGTTATTGTTATGGTTGATGCTTATGGGTTGCAAATATGATGGGATTAAAAGCAAACACACAATTGGCCAAATCAACTTCCTGTTTCTTATATAGCAGATATCCCGTGTCTGCCCTGGATTCATTTAATATTTCAAGAGATAAAATGACCGTGTTTTGCATGTTTAAAAATGTACACAGTTATTTAAAGATGGTGATGTCACCGTCCTGAAGCGGTGCCACCGTTAGTCAGTGACCCCC